AAGCAACACCGGCGGCACACTTATCATTGAAGCGCGACAATCTGAAGCTTGAAACGTCATAAACCCCTCACTAGCTACCTGTGCACGGTAGTCCTCCACGTACTTCTTCATGTACACAGCGTTGCCGCCTTGGTTGCAGTTGCAGACGGCCCCTTGTGATTCCGCCATACTATTGCAATCCCCACCGTAGTCGCCGAACACAAGATCGTCGACTAAATACCGGCGTTGGTTGAAGATACACTTCATGAACCACCAGCGATCCCTCGCCCCTCTACAATTACGCAGCGCCTGTGCGAACACCTCGCCAGCAATCCACCCACCAACCATCAGCTCGCCGTCAGTATCATGCTTCAGGAAATAATCCTTGTCGGCATAGTCCGTCTGCCCACTGTTCGCCAGGTAGTCGCGCATCGCACGCTGAAAACTCCCGATTGCCTCGTAGTACGTGTCCTTCGCCAGCGGGTTCACCCCCGTCATGAACACCTGCTCGGGCACAAACTTGACACCATCATCCACGGCCGATTTCCACCTGTCCAAAACAACGTCCTGTAAAAAAAAAGGGGCCAACAGACGTGCGCCAGCGGTGCGGTCGTCCTTCAGCATCCTCGTAATGAACTCTTTGGTCTGTTTTGACCCCGAGCCAAACACAATCACGGCCTGCGGACGAGTGGCTGCAAACTGCTCCCACGCAGCATCGAACTCTTTAGGGTCTGCCTCACCAGTCGAGGGGGTCTTCACCGTGAAGACGCCGCAGAACTTGTAGCCCATCCCTGACATCACACGGCATGCATGCGCGTACTCCACCTCACCAAAGACGCCATCCTGCTGGTACATGAAGCCCAGCCGAAGCACCCGCAGCCGAGTCACGGCGAAGCGGATAAGTGCCATCAGCTCGTCCAAAGAGTTAGTACGCAGAAAGTACACGTTGGGGGTCCACTCAAGCACCGCACCCCACCCATTGAGGGGGGCAAAAGAGACAAGGCCAAGGCGCCGCAAGACTGGAAGCGCGTTCTTCAGCGACGCACCACCGACCTGGGCCAGAAGAGCAATGATACCGTTTTCCTTCTGTATCACTTCCTCCAGAACGGCAGGCGTACTCGGTGTCTTTCGCCTCCCTTTTGACAAGTTCAACAGGAACATCGCCCGCAGCCGTGGAGTTGTGTGCCCACAGCGAGGCATACACGCCGGCGTAAAAAGCGGTGGGCATGGACTGGGGTCTGGCAGTACGAATTCGCTTCAGCAGTAAAACCTTCACCGTGGTGCCAGCTTCTGCTGGTTGCGCGAC